ATGGCGAACCACAGCACCAGTCATCGACGCCTCGTCACCTCAAAAAAAAATAATGTTCGAAAAATATATTTTCTCAACTATTGACGTTCGAAAATACATTGGCATTGATCTCTGAGATTCAGAATACAAGGGTTCGAATCTGAGGGTTCGAAATACAGTAGCACTGATGTACAAGATATTTTTTTTAGCAATACACAGGTGTTGATTTTGTGTATACAACTTTTTCGAACATTCTAGAGTTCGAACATGTGTTCGAAATACTCAGCCACCTAAGTTTTACAATATAAATAGGCTCAATTATTCATTAAATATTTTTACTCTCATTGAATTTTTCATCAATTAAGACACTATTTTGGGAGACCGTAAAAAGTTATATATTTTTCAAAAACCTTTTATATAAGGTATAATTAAACGTTAATTATACGTTCATTCTAACTTAGATTTAACCTTAATTATACGCTGATTAACCTTGATTATACCAAGATTAACCTTAATTATCGCTTTATCACCCATATCTAACCTCATAACCCCACCTCAGTTCAAAATTCATGTATAACATAAGTGCTCATTTGACCACGTAGACCTTCCTGTCTCCAGGACAGATGAGGGTAGTCTCAGCTGGCTTTCAAGTCGACATGGCTGAGAAAGCTGTGAGAGGCAGAGAATGTCGTGAGAATACATCTTTGCAATGTTGCGGCCTTTTATCCCATAAGCACATCTCTTGTAAGGTTAAGAGGAGTAATTTATTGTCTTGGACGGGTAGAGAAGGTTGCAAAGGTCTTGCTGCATCTTCTGTCTCTCTCTCTCTCTCCTGTCTCTCTCTCTCTCTCCTGTCTCTCTCTCTCTCTCCTGTCTCTCTCTCTCTCCTGTCTCTCTCTCTCCATCCTGGAACAGGTATTCCAGTTTCTCTTCGCTCAAGTGCCTCTCATTCCAGAGACAAAAATCCTGGAAAGGTTTTGTGGGAAATCTTGACTCGTGCCATCAGGAAACTATCCGCCCATCAGAGGACATTCCCAAGATGCAACGTCGATGGCTAGTCGTTTGCAGTGCCCCATTCCAGACCTCGTCGCGTAAAAGAGTTTCCATGCGTCAAGGCTGGAAATTGTACCCAATTTTTTGGCCCGTTCCTATTTACTTTCCCGGAATGGAAACATTAGAACTCCACGGAAAGCGTTCTTGCGGTTTGGTGCGGTCAAGGGCGGTGTTGCCACACACTCGCTGGATCTTGTCCGGTTGGTTGACAACATTGAGAAATGTTTGACAGTAAATTCTCTCAAGAGATGTCAAGGGCCATTCCAGGCAAACCTCGCTAGCCAGAAGCAACAGATAGGCTAGATATGTAGAGGAATGAGTTTGGGTAGATATCAATAAGAGCTGCCCCATTAAGATCAATAACAGCTGCCCCATTAAGATCAATAGCAGCTGCCCCATTAAGATCAATAGCAGTCACCCCCATTAAGACCAATCGGTTTTCTGCCGTGTCGACCATTCTCACGTTTTCTCTCCAATTCAGTGAGAGTGAGTCACAATACTCACTCCAGTCACTAGGTTCACAGAACGACTCCAGACTGCGTCCCCATTTTCCAGGCCGCCCTGGACGTGAATATCCTGTTCCAGAATGATCTTCCAGCCCCTGGAGAATGAAGACTGTGTTTCTTCAAGGAGGGGGGGGGGGTGAGAGCTTGCTCCACCAGGCTGTTGCTTGGAGCGGCCCGCAGGCCCACGTATCCACCACAGCCCGAGTGGTCCGGCACTCCTTGAAGAAGTTCTTATTACAGCTTATTGCAACGCTAAAACGTTGAACTCAGTACATATAACTATCAATATGATGAATCTGACTCATAGGGTGACGGACCTACAAAGTAATTAATGGTCTGGAATTGTTCTTTCATCGAGATAAATATTGGGGCTCGGTCCTTCCTTGACGAAAAACATAGGGCAATAGGCCTTCCTTCAACTTAAACATAGGGCAATACGCCTTCCTTCAACTTAAACATAGGGCAATACGCCTTCCTTCAACTTTAACATAGGGCAATACGCCTTCCTTCAACTTAAACATAGGGCAATACGCCTTCCTTCAACTTTAACATAGGGCAATACGCCTTCCTTCAACTTAAACATAGGGCAATACGCCTTCCTTCAACTTAAACATAGGGCAATACGCCTTCCTTCAACTTAAACATAGGGTAATAGGCCTTCCTTCAACTTAAACATAGGGCAATACGCCTTCCTTCAACTTAAACATAGGGCAATACGCCTTCCTTCAACTTTAACATAGGGCAATGGTCATTTATTGACGAAGAATGGCAGATGCAGTTTAATGCTGATAAATGTAAAGTTCTGAGGTTAGGTAATGATGATAGAGTTACAAGATACGAGCGGGATGGTGTTGTGATTGCGAAGTCGGATTGCGAAAGGGATCTGGGAGTTATGATTAAGAACATAAGAACATAAGAACATAAGAACAAAGGTAACTGCAGAAGGCCTATTGGCCCATACGAGGCAGCTCCTATTCTATAACCACCCAATCCCACTCATATACTTGTCCAACCCGTGCTTGAAACAATCGAGGGACCCCACCTCCACAATGTTACGCGGCAATTGGTTCCACAAATCAACAACCCTGTTACTGAACCAGTATTTACCCAAGTCTTTCCTAAATCTAAACTTATCCAATTTATATCCATTGTTTCGTGTTTTGTCCTGTGTTGATACTTTTAATACCCTATTAATATCCCCCCGGTTATGTCCATTCATCCACTTGTAAACCTCTATCATGTCACCCCTAACTCTTCGCCTTTCCAGTGAATGCAACTTAAGCTTTGTTAATCTTTCTTCATATGAAAGATTTCTAATTTGGGGAATTAACTTAGTCATCCTACGCTGGACACGTTCAAGTGAATTTATATCCATTCTATAATATGGCGACCAAAACTGAACTGCATAATCTAAATGGGGCCTAACTAGAGCAAGATATAGCTTGAGAACCACACCAGGTGTCTTGTTACTAACGCTGCGATTAATAAATCCAAGTGTCCGATTTGCCTTATTACGAACATTTATGCATTGATCCTTTTGTTTTAAATTCTTACTAATCATAACTCCCAGATCCCTTTCGCAATCCGACTTCGCAATCACAACACCATCTAGCTCGTATCTTGTAACTCTATCATCATTACCTAACCTCAGAACTTTACATTTATCAGCATTAAACTGCATCTGCCAATCCTTTGACCATTTCAAAACCCTATCTAGATCAACTTGAAGTGATAGTGAGTCCTCCTCCGAATTAATTTCCCTACCGATTTTCGTATCATCGGCAAATTTGCAAATGTTGCTACTCAAACCTGAATCTAAATCATTTATATATATTATAAACAACAGAGGTCCCAGGACAGAGCCTTGAGGCACTCCACTTACAACATTTTCCCACTCTGACTTGATTCCATTTATACTAACTCTCTGTTTCCTTTGGTATAGCCATGCCCTAATCCAGCTTAATATAGCACCCCCAATACCATGAGACTCTATTTTTTTAATCAGTCTTTCATGTGGCACTGTATCAAAAGCTTTGCTAAAGTCAAGGTATACAACATCGCAATCCTTACCACTATCAACTGCCTCAACAATGCTAGAATAAAAAGATAACAAATTTGTTAAACATGAACGGCCATTTATAAAACCATGTTGCGACTCAATTATTAATTTATGTTTTTCAAGATGAAGACGAATTTTATTTGCTATTATAGATTCGAGTAACTTTCCCACAATAGACGTTAGGCTAATTGGTCGATAGTTAGACGCAAGTGATCTATCTCCTTTCTTAAAAACTGGTATCACATTAGCAACTTTCCAAAACTCTGGCACTCTGCCTGACTCTATTGATTTATTAAATATGGTTGACAGTGGGTCACAAAGCTCCTCTTTGCATTCTTTAAGCACCCTAGCAAACACTTCATCCGGCCCTGGGGATTTGTTTGGTTTGAGTTTTACTATTTGTTTAAGAACATCCTCCCTGGTAACTGCTAAACTCGTCAACCTGTCCTCGTCCCCACCCACATAGACTTGTTCGGCTGAAGGCATATTGTTAAGTTCCTCTTTAGTAAATACAGATACAAAATATTTATTAAAAATACTACTCATCTCTTCATCACTATCTGTTATTTGACCTGTCTCAGTTTTTAATGGACCTATCCTTTCCCTAGTCTTAGTACGATATAACTGAAAAAACCCTTTAGGATTTGTCTTTGCTTGCCCTGCTATGCGAACTTCATAGTTTCTTTTTGCTTTCCTTATCTCTTTTTTAACATTTCTAACCAGTTGTACGAATTCCTGTTCTAAAGTGACCTCCCCATTTTTAATCCTTTTGTACCAAGCTCTCTTTTTACCTATAAGGTTCTTCAAATTCTTTGTTATCCACTTTGGGTCATTAGTATACGATCTATTCAATTTGTATGGTATACTACGTTCCTGTGCTTTGTTTAGAATATTCTTAAATAAGTTATATATTGAATCCACATCGAAATCCCCATTTAAGTCACCTATCGCTGGGTTCATGTCTCGCTCCAAGACCGGCCCACACCCCATACCCAAGCCTTTCCAATCAATTTGACCCAAAAAATTTCTTAGGCTATTAAAATCAGCTTTTCGAAAATCTGGCACTTTAACAGAATTTTCTCCTACTGGTCTATTCCATTCTATGCTAAATCTGATTTCTTTGTGATCACTGCTCCCTAGCTCACTCCCTATTTCGATGTCATTAATTTGCGTTTCCCTGTTAGTTAACACTAAATCTAAAATATTATTTTCCCGTGTTGGTTCCTTAATGTGTTGCGTAAGAAAGCAATCGTCAATTAATTCTAGAAAATCTTCTGCTTCACTATTCCCTGTTTTGTTCAACCAGTTTATTCCGCTAAAATTAAAGTCACCCATGACATAAATACTGTTAGATCTAGATGCTCTAGATATTTCATCCCATAGATGCTTTGCTTCCATTCTGTCTAAATTTGGTGGCCTATATATTACTCCTATTATAATATTATTAGCTTTTTCGTTTAATTCAATCCAAATAGTTTCTGTGTGTGGCTCTGTTTTGATTCCCTCTTTGAGACTACATTTCAAATTGTCCCTAACATATATGGCTACTCCACCTCCTCGTCTAATATATCTATCTGTGTGAAATAGTTTAAATCCATATATTTGATATTCAGCTAATAGTTCTCTATTTTCTACATTCATCCACGTTTCGGTAAGTGCAATAATATCTATTTTTTCTGTGCAGACAAGAGCATTTAATTCGTTAATTTTATTTCTTAGACTTCTACTGTTAGTGTAATATACCCTAAGTGAATTGTTATTTTGCGGACCTTCTCTTTCCCTGATCGTTTTGCCAATTCCTTTCTCCCACAAACACATACTTTTATTACCTCCTTCCTCCAAATCAATTCCCATACCTACTAACAGTTTAAACCCAAACAAACACCTCTAACCACTTCTTCTAGCGAGTTCGCAACAGCAACAACCCCAGCTCTCGATAGATGCACCCCATCACGAGCATACATTTCATTTCTTCCATAGAAGTGTTCCCAGTTGTCTATGAAAGATATTGCATTTGATTTGCAATATCTTTCCAGCCGGCAATTGACACCAAGTGCCCTCGATATCCATTCATTTCCCACTCCCTTTCTTGGAAGAATGCCACATATGATCGGGATTCCTCCCTTGCTCCTAACTAACTCTATGGCTGTTTTATACCTCTGAATCAGTTCCTCACTCCTGACTCGACCAACATCATTTCCTCCCACGCTAATGCAAATAATGGGATTGTTCCCATTACCAGCCATAATATCATTCATGTTGTTTATAATATCACCAATGCCAGCTCCGGGATAGCAAACCCTTAACCTGTTCCCCCTATCTCTAGCACAAAACGTTCTATCCAAATACCTTATCTGGGAATCTCCCACAACTAATGTTTGCTTAGGTACTTCCTTTACTTTCTGAAAGTAAATTAGTAAGAATTTAAAAATTAGTAAGAATTTAAAACAAAAGGATCAATTCATAAATGTTCGTAATAAGGCAAATCGGACACTTGGATTTATTAATCGCAGCGTTAGTAACAAGACACCTGGTGTGGTTCTCAAGCTATATCTTGCTCTAGTTAGGCCCCATTTAGATTATGCAGTTCAGTTTTGGTCGCCATATTATAGAATGGATATAAATTCACTTGAACGTGTCCAGCGTAGGATGACTAAGTTAATTCCCCAAATTAGAAATCTTTCATATGAAGAAAGATTAACAAAGCTTAAGTTGCATTCATTGGAAAGGCGAAGAGTTAGGGGTGACATGATAGAGGTTTACAAGTGGGTGAATGGACATAACAAAGGGGGATATTAATAGGGTATTAAAAGTATCAACACAAGACAGAACACGAAACAATGGGTATAAATTGGATAAGTTTAGATTTAGGAAAGACTTGGGTAAATACTGGTTCAGTAACAGGGTTGTTGATTTGTGGAACCAATTACCGCGTCACGTGGTGGAGATGGGGTCCCTCGATTGTTTCAAGCGCGGGTTGGACAAGTATATGAGTGGGATTGGGTGGTTATAAATAGGAGCTGCCTCGTATGGGCCAATAGGCCTTCTGCAGTTGCCTTTGTTCTTATGTTCTTATGTTCTTATGTTCTTATGTTCTTATGTTCTTAAGAACATAGGATGATAATCCCTCTTTGAGGATAAAAATAGTGTGAAAGACCTACCTTGAGGATAAACGTTGGATGTTACTACCTTATTTTGTCAATTATATCCCCTCAATATGCTCGGGAAGTGGAACAAATGAAGACCGCAGGTTTCAATCGCATTGTGCTGTAATTGTAACGTACTGTAATAGGATAACTTGGGTCGGTACCTGGCAGAATAAACGCTGCAACTAGGTAATGTTTTGTACCCTGTTATCCAGAAGCAGCGCGTTTTCTTTATAGTCACCCCTTCGAACTCTTTCTCTTTGTTTATGGGCTTTCCAGGACTCGTTAAAGGTGAAGTCAACACACTTTATTCTTCATTCCAGATGGTGTTTCTGGAAGAGTCTTTGACATATATACAGGCGACATCATCGTTCAACTCTTCTGTGTTCCAGATCATGTTCCAGTCGTTCCAGAGCGTGTTACAGTCAGTCGAACCGGGATACTGATTTAAGCATCACAAAACGTTTTAGAAACTTTCCCTAAAACGTTACTAACGTTGTTATGAACTCCCTTGTTTCCAGATGGTGTTCCTAGGCCCTTCTCCCCTGCAAAGTGTAACAGTCAAATGCTATATATACTCCTTTTCTAAAGGCTTTTCCAGAATGTAAACTCAATACTCCATTTTCTGTGGGTTCCAGATCGTGTTTCTGGAGGAGCCTCCGTACATCAGCCTCGCCTCTCCAGATCCGGTTACTGGACAGTGCAACGCCAATAGAGGGATTCTGTGTCGCGTCGCTACTGATGCTATGATGGCCAAGTAAGTGGTGTTAAGTGCTCGGGTGAGCACTTAAGGGGATGGTGGGGTTATCTTGAGGTTATCTTGAGTTGATTTCGGGGCTTTAGTGTCCCCGCGGCCCGGTCCTTGACCAGGCCTCCACCCCCAGGAAGCAGCCCGTGACAGCTGACTAACACCCAGGTACCTATTTACTGCTAGGTAACAGGGGCATTCAGGGTGAAAGAAACTTTGCCCATTTGTTTCTGCCTCGTGCGGGAATCGAACCCGCGCCACAGAATTACGAGTCCTGCGCGCTATCCACCAGGCTACGAAGCCCCTGCACGGTGCACGGTGCTAGTTCGTGAGTGCTCAAGTGATGGTCAGTAAGTGCTCAAGTGATGGGTTATAACTCCTCAAGTGATGGGTTATAAGTGCTCAAGTGATGGGTAAGTGCTCCATATTTTTTCTCACAATAATTTTTTGTTCGAACTTAAGGTGAAGAATGACCAAGTAACGGTGACGTCATGCATGACGATGACGCAACAGTGACATCATGCATGACGCAACAGTGACGTCATGCTCAGCGCCTCACGTAATTGGTTAATGAAGACTTGAAGGAAACAAAGACTTAAGTAACGTACTTGGAAATTAAAAAAAAAGAAATGGGCAGTTAAGAGGAAAATAGGGATCCAGAGAGAAAAATAGAGTTGCTAAACAATTAAAGATTCTGGTGTTAAAGTGATTAAGGAGAGAATTTGGTATGAAATTGGGACTAATGGATGTTAATGGGTAAGCAGTAGGTACATTGAGAGCCTAATGGGTCGTAATAGGGACTATAAAGAGACCTAATTGAGATTACCGGAAGCTAATAGAAATGCTAATAGGGAAGATAATGGTGACAGTAATAGGAGAGGCTTAGTACAGATAATAGCAACGTTAATAGAGGCTAATAACAAGGTTAATAGAGCCTAATAGCAAGGTTAATAGAGTAATAGAGGCTAATAGCAAGGTTAATAGAGGCTATTAACAACGTTAATAGAGGCTAATAGCAGCATTAATAGAGGCTAACAGCAACTTCAATAGAGCCTATTAACAACGTTAATATGGTGTCCCATTAACTCCGTTAATAGGGGGACGTTAATAGCATCGTTAATTGGTCATGCTAATAGCAAAGTTAATAGAGTAGGTTAATAGCAAAATTGAGAGTGCTAATAGGAAGATTAATTGGGGGGTAGTTATAACATCAGCGCTAATAGGGTCTGCTAATAGGAAATGTAATAGGTGATGAAGTCATCAGTAGTAATTAACTGCAGCAAAATAGGGGGTACCAAAAGCTAATTGGGATATAACAGTATCCGTAAAGAAATTAATTGGCCTTGAAAACTAATCCCAATTAATATATTAAGAGACTTATAGAAATTGGTGCAAAGTAATAGGAAGTTACGTATTTATATTGACTGTGTGAGGATAATGTAATAGGATAATTGTCAAAAAGCTTATCTGAGTAATGATTAAAGATAAGTGAATAATTGGTAAATATATTAACCTTATTAGTTGATAAAATAGGTTGATCTCAATAGCTGGCAAAATAGGTTGACGACAATAGCTGGCAAAATAGGTTGAGCTCAATGATTCGTAAATAGGTTAAGCTTTATAGCTGGTAAATAGATTAAGTTCAATAATTGCCAAATAGGTTCAGCTCAATAGTTATCAAATAGGTGTAACTCAATTGTTAAATATGATAAATTCATCAATTATTTAATAGGTTCATAATTGTCAAATAAGTTTCGCTCAGTTGGTAATAGGTTAAATTCAGTAACTGATTAATAGGTTAAGAAATTGTTAAAATTGGTTAGAACCAATAATTGGTAAATAAGTTAATCTCAATAATTGGTTAATGGGTTATGCTCCTTAATTGGCAAATTGGGTAGGCAATTATCTTGAGACAGCATTAAGCCATTACGAGTAAATAACAAGTAATTAGCTTAACCTATTTACGAGTTATTGAGCTTAACCTATTTTGCCAATTATTGAGCATACCCTAATTTGCCAATTATTGAAGTGAATAACATTTACCAATTATTCAGTTTAGCAAATTCACCAATTATTGAGGGTATTTTCCCTATTTACTCAATATTCAGATAATCCTTTTGACAATTATCGTATTACATTTTCATCATATAGTCATTATATTTATAAGATTTCCTATTGGCACCAATTTCTATAAATATCTTAACATATTAATTGGGATTAGTTTACAATTGCCAATTAATTTCCTGTAAGGCACCATTATATTCCAATTAGCTTTTTTTTGGTACTCCTATTTTGTCGACTATATGTTAAATCAGTAATTGGTAAATGGGTTAAGCTCAATAATTGGTAAATTTGTTAAACTCATTTATTGGTAAATTGGTTAAACTCAGTTGCCAAATAGGTCAAGTTAAAGAATTGGTAAATAGATTAAAGTTCAATAATTGGTAAATAGGTTAATTTCAGTAATTGGTAAATAGGTTAATTTCAATAATTGGTAAATAGGTTCAGTTCAATAATTGGTAAATAGGTTAATTTCAGTAATTGGTAAATAGGTTCAGTTCAATAATTGGTAAATAGGTTAATTTCAGTAATTGGTAAATAGGTTAATTTCAATAATTGGTAAATAGGTTAATTTCAATAATTGGTAAATAGGTTTACCTCAATTATAAAATGGGTTTATCTCAGTTGGCAAATAGGTTAAGTATAGCAATTGTTAATAACATTTAAGTTCTATTGAACTGTAAAAATTGGACAAAACCAATTTATTTCATTTATTTTTAATCCAATTTAACAGTGACCTGTATTTAACGTGAAGGATGATGGAGATGGGCGATAATTACCTGTTACATTTAACAAACAATTAAAACTTTTAACTTGGTAATGATGATGTGTGTTTGTTTGTTTGTTGAAGTAAAAGTTTTGGTGTGTAGGATATGTGAGTGTTTATGTGGGTGTTAATTACGGTAAATGGTCTATGTCTCTCTCTCTCTCTCTCTCTCTCTCTCTCTCTCTCTCTCTCTCTCTCTCTCTCTCTCTCTCTCTCTCTCTCTCTCTCTCTCTCTCTCTCTCTCTCTCTCTGTCTCTCTCTCTCTCTCTCTCTCTAGGGCTCATAAGGGCTGTCGAATGACGTGCCTGGTGAAAATGCAAGCATGAGCTGTTATCCTACCTCAGCCTTTTTGAAGCCTGCTCCTAGTACCTCATATATTTTATGAGAATGTACTGTGAGCCTACCTCTCTCTCTCTCTCTCTCTCTCTCTCTCTCTCTCTCTCTCTCTCTCTCTCTCTCTCTCTCTCTCTCTCTCTCTCTCTCTCTCGTACACATACAGAAGTGAACACAGCGATGATCTCAGTATTATTCTCTCTTATTATTTTGGGAATACTTTTTTAAGCCCTTGGTTGTATATGTATTTTTGTATGAATATATGTATGTGTGAAATGAATACATGTCTGTGTATTTCTATAAGAGCTTCGCTGAAAGTGTCCAGCAGAGTGAGACACACCTTAATAGCGGCAGGGGGGGCGGGAGGAACTTAGGGGAACAAACTCAGCTTGGGCTGGACGATAGAGCGACCGTCTCGCTTCATGCGGGTCGGCGTTCAATCCCCCGACCGTCCACCAAGTGGTTACGACACCATTCCTTTCCCTCCGTCCCATCCCAAAGCATTATCCTGACCCCTTCCCAGTGCTATATAGTCGTAATGATTTGGCACTTTACCCTAATAATTCCCCGTCTTGCTCGAACGCGCATACACAATATTTACTAAACACTCTCCCCTGAAATAGGGTTTATCCCTGTTGTAATTGGGTCGAATTGTGTCTCTCTCTCTCCTCCTTGCCCCCCCCCCCCCTCCCCCTCCTCCTCCAATCACGATGCGATCACCTTGGGTGTTTACACACCAATCACGTCGTTAAGGGGTAATTGCCAATCGTTTGCCGAGGTGGTTGGGCAGTCTTGGCCTCTCTCTAGTGGCGCCAACTGTGGAATTGACAATTTATTACAATTTTGAAATAGGATTTGGATGAGGCTTTGATCTATATCCTAATACATCGCCTGTATCCAATTCGTTAGAAAACCGACGTTCTAGAACAGATTAAACCACCGTAATATTGACGTATTATATCCAACACTCTCTATGGGTTAGGGGGGTTGCTCAGGTTTGTACGGTTATGGTTAAACAGTTGCATTTTTAACGGAGTAGAAATGTTGAATTTGTCTTTTTTTTTTTAATTCATTTTGAGGGGGTATAGCGGGATTGAACTCTCGTATCTAGAGTCGGCAGACACGCACATTACCGTCTCAGCCATGATGGGCTCATAGCTGTTACATGTAGCAGGACTAGGCCTAGCTGGTGTACTTAGGCCTATCAGCCTCTGGAGGGTTATTAAGGCCTATCAACCTCTGGAGGGTTATTAAGGCCTATCAACCTCTGGAGGGTTATTAAGGCCTATCAACCTCTGGAGGGTTATTAAGGCCTATCAACCTCTGGAGGGTTATTAAGGCCTATCAACCTCTGGAGGGTTATTAAGGCCTATCAACCTCTGGAGGGTTATTAAGGCCTATCAACCTCTGGAGGGTTATTAAGGCCTATCAACCTCTGGAGGGTTATTAAGGCCTATCAACCTCTGGAGGGTTATTAAGGCCTATCAACCTCTGGAGGGTTATTAAGGCCTATCAACCTCTGGAGGGTTATTAAGGCCTATCAACCTCTGGAGGGTTATTAAGGCCTATCAACCTCTAGAGGGTTATTAAGGCCTATCAACCTCTGGAGGGTTATTAAGGTCTATCAACCTCTGGAGGGTTATTAAGGCCTATCAACCTCTGGAGGGTTATTAAGGCCTATCAACCTCTGGAGGGTTATTAAGGCCTATCAACCTCTGGAGGGTTATTAAGGCCTATCAACCTCTGGAGGGTTATTAAGGCCTATCAACCTCTGGAGGGTTATTAAGGCCTATCAACCTCTGGAGGGTTATTAAGGCCTATCAACCTCTGGAGGGTTATTAAGGCCTAT